CTGGTTCTGTTGGTTAGATGACTCTAGTGTAGTCCAGAACAAACTGAATAGCCCAGGTTCAATCTCGATTGTCACAACTCACAACAGTAGAATGCTAGAATCCAAGGCCCGGTATTCCCAGAGTTGTTGAAAACTAGTGAAATGCCCAATTTTACTGAACTAACTCATACAGGCTTAAAGACTATGCATGCCAGTTTTATTTTCATTAACAAGTGAATGACTATTTATTATAATCAAGCTATTTTTGACTGATGGCAAGAAAGAATTATGAATTGCTAACTTATAACTCAATAATTTAAACTTTATCCCTTTTTAAAATTCCCATACACATACGAGTAGACACGCAAAGGAAGAAGAGAAGACACAAATCCTGTGGGTGGGGAAAGAAAAATAAAACTCAGAGTAGCACAGATCTGGCACCAGTCTGGAACACAGTCAATGATGAGTTGCTTTCTTTTGGTCTCCTTTCAACATTTTCCAGTTCTTTCCAAATGATACTAAGTTGTGGTTACACGATTTCTCAGCCTTTCGCTCACTGGTTGACGCTTTGAGCTTTCACTGTGTTTGAAAGTGTTTTCTTCTCCTTTTCTTATCAATAAGAGATGTGCAGACAGAACAACTTACAAAGAAAAGTGAGGGAATGTAGCTAGGTACTCAGGATTTTCTTTTACTTTTCCGCACAATAAGAAGAGAGAAATGGATGCTTTCTCTTCACAGGCTAAATATTTTGCTGAGTTATCTGCACCCTATGGAGGTAACTACCTGCCCAGAAACCAATGAAGTGATTGTCACTATGCTAAGCCCTCCTGAGCCCACAACAATTGGTTTAATTTGAAAAATACAATTGAAGGACTGGCTCTGGGTAAAATTGCCCAGCACACAAACAAGCAGTACCATCCTGTCTTGAATTCTCCCTCGCTGCTTGAATAAGGCCATATTGGCGATTAAGTTCATTATGTGTTTCAGCAACTTGTTTTTAAAGCTGCAAAGGGAAGGTGATGGACCAGTGGTATTATTTCTAGACTGTTAATACAGAGTATTGTCCTGGGGTTCCAATTTCTGGGGACCCAGAATTCAATAAAAATCTGGATTTAAGAGTCTAACGATGAGGGTGAATCCATTGCCGATTGTCACATTGTTCACTAATGTCCTTTAGGGAGGGAAACTGACCTTACCTGGTCTGGCCCAAATATGACTCCAGACCCACAATAATGTGGTTGACTCTTAACTGCCCTCTGGGCAATTAGGCGTAGGCAGTAAATGCTGTCTAGCCAGCGATGCCCTCACCCTGTGAATGAATTAAAAAAAGTCTACTTAAGCAGTTTAAAACAGTATCTTCTTCTATTTTAGTCTACAGTCCAAATATAATATTTGCACCATATTGACTCGTTCACAGAAGTCCTCACTCCTCACCTTATCCCACACTTGTGGAGTGATATCCCCCAGGCTATACATAGCCAATTGTCTCTCTCTAATGGAGAGAGATGTCTCTGGTCCTTTCTGGACAATGGAACCTTACAAATACTACACTTCAAAAGTACTTCACATTACTCTGAGGAAGGCTGTGATATAATGGTAATGTCACTAGACTTGAGGCCTTGAACCTCAGACTAATATTGTGGGGATATGGGTTTGAACCTAGAATTAAAAGCTAGCCCAGTGGCAACCACTGTTGATTTTTGTAAAAAGTCATCTGGCTCATTAGTCTCCTTGAGGAAGAAAATCTGCCAAGCTTAACTGGCCTGGACTAGATGTGACTCCAAACCCACAGCAAATTGGTTGACTCTTCACCCACTCTGGATGATTAGGGATGGGCTGTAAATGCTGGCCTAGCCATTAACATCCTCATCCCATGGACAAGTAAAAAGCTTGATCAATGTTTCTGATGCATAGATCACTGTACAGTTGTAAAAACTCATCTGATTCACTAATGTCCATTAAGGTAGGAAATCAGCCATCCATAGACTGTGGCCCACGTGTCAATTAGGCCCATAGCAATATGATTGAATCTTAAATAGAGAAATAGTGTAGCAAGGCAATTAGGAAAGGGCAATAAATGCTGCCCTAGCCAGTGACACCCACATTCCATGAATGCATAAAAATGAAACAGACAGATTGGACCATCCTAAAATCATGAAAGGCATGACATAAGTGCAAGTTTGTTTTCACTTCTTTGTTTAATATAGGACTTAGCAATCCAGGTTTTTCATTTTACTGGCAGAAATGTGTTCAGTATTCATTTCAGCCTTCTAAGCTCTAAAGCTAACAGTTAAGAAAGGTCACACAAATTACATCTACCCACGCACCAGCTGCAAAACCATCGCAGTAATACTAACTTTATACAGCAAATTGTTCACTATACTCAATAATGTTGTTTTTGCATTTGTATAATTCACACATTTGCTTTCATTGAGAGTTCAGCCTCGAGATTGAATTATGCATGTATGTGAAAGAAAAGTGAAATAAAGAACCATGTTAAAATTCATCATAAATGCACGGGTCACAGAACAGGGATTACTTAATGTTTCACATGGAAAAATAGAAAGCCGTTAATCAACTTTGCATCAGTCTTATTTGAGCTTTTCAAGTTATTGTGTTTATATAGGTCATTTAAATTCCTAGTTTGCCATACTTTGCTTCTCCTAAAGTGACTGAAGCAGGCAGTTAGAATAAAAGTAATCCTGTAAACCAAAGTTTCTAAATTCCAAACTTTTATGAATTTTGCAATGTACATTGAATGGAAACATTTCAACCATGATTCTATGCAACCTGCAAAATTAGTCTGATATTAATTAAACCTGTTTGTTATTTGTTCTAGTACCAGGATCTAAGACCATAAGATCACAAGAAGTAAGAACAGGAATAGGTCACTTGGCCCTTCGAGCCCGCTCCATTATTCAATAGGAATATGACTGATCTGACATTCTTCTCATCCACTTTCCTGCCCTTCCCCTGAAATGCTTGATTCCCCAACTGATCAAGAATCTATCCATCCCAGCCTTAAATATACAGAAGAACTCTCCCCCCACAGCTCTCTGTGACAAGAAGTTCTAAAGACTCTCTTCTTCTGAGAGAAGAAATTCCTCCTCATCTCAGTCTTAAATTAGTGCCTCTTTATTCTGAGACTATACTCTCTGGTCCTAGAGTTTCCCATAAAGGGAAACATCCTCTCAGCATTTACCCTGTCAAGTCCCCTAAGAATCCTTGATGTTTCAATATGATCATGTGTCATTCTTCTAAACTCCAATCAGTAGAGTCCCAAAGTGTTTAATTTTTGCTCCTAAGACAATCCCTCCACACCAGGGATCATCTGAGTGAACCTTCTCCGAACCGCCTCCAATGAAATATTGTGTTTCCTTCAATAAAATGCCGATAGTACTCCAAATGTGGTCTTACCAACACCTTGTACAATTTCAGTAAGATTTCTCTGCTTTTATGTTCCAACCCCCTTGGAATAAGGGCCAATGTTCCATTAGCCTTCTTGATTCCCTGATCTGTTCTGACTGTCTGTATGCAAACAGGTCAATTGGACTTGAATCTCTAATTTCCAATTTGTTGAGATTAGTTTTATACTTTGAGCGGAAGGTTGCACATCAGCACAGTTCAAATAGTTCTAAATTCAGTCAGCAGTAACAATTTTACTTTTTTACTGTATGTTCTCTGTTTATCCGCCATCCCAGCAACCTCACCACCACCCTCACTCCTTCCAAAGGCACTGTCTCATATGGAGTGTAGTTACTGGACCACTCTATCCTCCAGTCATTTCTGCTTCGCCATATTAATATTTCAGATATTTTTATATGAGGGTATTGCCCTAATTACAGTGTCAACTCTTTGTCAAAGTCATCATTGTGTTGGTGTAAGAGATAACACAGTGTGGAGCTGGAGGAACACAGCAGGCCAGGCAGCATCAGAGGAGCAGGAAAGCTGACGATTCAGGTCGGGACCCTTCTTCAGAAATGGGTCATGGATTAAGGATACATTTAGGCCATTTAGCACTAAGATGAGGAGAATTGTCTTCACCCAGACAGTGAGGAGCCTGTGGAATTCTCTGCACAGAGAGCGGCTTAGGCCAAAGCATTTAATTTTTTCAAGAAGGAGTTAGGTATAATTTTGGGGCTAAAGGGATTAAAGGGTATGGGGAGAAAGCGGGAACAGGGGACTGAGTGGGATGATCAGCAGTGATCATCTTGAATGGAAGAGCAGGGTTGAAGGGCTGAAAGGCCTGCTCTTGCTCCTATATTCTATGTTTCTATAGTTTATATTCAGAAGGAAAGGGGAGTTATCCTGCATGTCCTGAGCCAATATTTATTCCAGAATCATAATCCCAAAAACAGATTATTTTGTCATTGTCATGTTCCTGTTTGTGGGAGCTTGCTCTTCAGAAATGGGCTGCCACTTTCCATACATTACATCAGCGCTTCCAGTTCAGTCTTTCCAGTTGGCTGGAAAGCTCTTGAGATGTCTGGTGGTTGTGCAAAGCGCTACAGAAATGAAGGACAGGGAATGAAAAATCAGTTTGAGAGGATTACATACATAGTACTGTTGTCATCCAAATTCACTTCATTACTCAAAACGAACATTAGGTGGATTCTGTAGGCCATTCCTTTCTGCTACGTTTCCTCCTGTGTTCCAACCAGGTGATACTTCATGGCCCAAGTCATAAAGGTGAATGTAATCTCAATAAGGTTCTGACTTTGATGACATGCACGGATGGGAATGATCATTTAGCTTCACTTAAGAAGAGCATTCAATTGATCAGGCTCGTACAGGACAAGCAGATCTGCACAATGGAACACGAACAAAAGCTATATAGTGTTCATGAGAGGGTGGGGAGAACAAAAAAGTGAAGGGAAGCTAATAAGTGAAGTCTTCAACAGTGAACAGTGGAAGTACTTTAATATTCTGTTTAATTTTCTGCCTTTCAGTCCTATTTGAGTGCAGTGATGTTGCTGCTTTACGTGACACAGTAATAGATTTTCTACAAATTATTTTGGCAGGTCCTTATTGTGGCAACATGAATGAGATCCCTTCACAAATACAGTTAGCATCCAGTGTGGTGACTGTGGAGTTCAGGAGCATCACTCATATATCAGGAAGAGGATTTATGCTCTCCTATGCCACTACTGATCATCCAGGTCAGTATCCTTTTATCTGCAATACATTTGACGGTATTGATAATGTTTCTGCTGAGGCTGGAGGGGTGCATACTTCCTCCAGTCCTATTACTTCATGGGGCACAACGTAAAATAAAAGTATTTTTCTCACTTCCCAAAATGGGCCACATAGAAACCTTATCTATGGAAGGTTTTAAATTTAAGAGGTCAATCAACTATGTTTCTTAAGAAACAGAATTGTGGGTTTATTACTAAAACAATGCTTATTCAACAGAGATACAACAATTGGTAACATACACAGTCAGTAATATAGAAGTATAAATGCTTATCCGTTTAAATATCCCCAAAACAAATTTGCAACCCATACTCAAAAATGCACAAACACATGCCTAAGGAAAAGAAAAATAAAAACCAAGAAAAACAAAATCTAATTTCTCTGCAAAGGTTGGCTCTCTGAAAAAAAAGCACTGCATTATTCTTAAAGGCAAAAGGCTAAAGCATAGAATGTTCCAGGACCTGCACTCTGTTGTTCTGGCATGTGCAATTATGTCACTAGTCATGCACAGTTTTCTCTGGAATATCTGCAGACACAACTTGCTCAGAAAGTACAATATTGATAATTTCCTCCAATCACTCTGTGAAGAACAAATAAGTTCCACCTTGAACTTATCAAAAATATTTTATTTTCAGAAATGGGAGAGATCAGCTGGGTAGCTCTTCCTCACAGGTTTCTTGTACCCAACTGATGACCAGAAACCAAAGTGCTCTCCATCCTGTCATATTTCAGCACTGTTTGCAAAAAAGCAAATTATTGTTGCTAATCATATCATTCCTAAGAAGTTTTGTTTTAAAGAGGTTCCAACTGCTTATTGAATGGAAAAGTGGCATTGTGGGTCATCCCACAGCAGGTAGACGTCAGCGGTTCAAGAAGGCAGCAGACCACCACCTTCTCAAGGGCAACTAGGGAGAGGCAATAAATGCTGGCCAGCTGGTGATGCCCACATCCCACAAAATGAATAAAAAAAAGTTTGTTGATCTATGGACTTAAGCACTTCAGGATTAAGCATTGCAGTAAAATATTTGTTATCATTAAGGATTAGTTGAGGGAATTTCAATGTATTGAATCTTTTTTGTTATTGATTTTTTTCAATACGTCAACAATAGACACTGTCAGCATGCCTCCAGAGGTTTGCACATACAGTCATAGATGGTGGATACTAAATGGGAGGGAAAGCTAAAGGTTGTTGGACATCAGAAAGTGAGATGGCATGGGAACTACATTGTGTGGCATAAGCCACGCTGGGGCTATGACGGGCTAATGGGTTGGGTAGATGGGCATAGGGTGGCAGAGAGGGTATAAAAGGCCTTTGAGTGGGTAAATGGGCATAGGGCTGCAGTGGAGTATAAGGGGCTACGGGGATGGTAGAAGGGCATAGTGTGACATGGATGGGGCATGGAGAGTGTGTGGGGTAGGCAGGAGTGAGTAGTTGTTTGATTTTTTTTTCACCTTCATTGTTAAACTTTGAGCCCAGTGCTGGATCTTCAAGGTAGGCTTTCATCCAGCCTGCCTCAGGCGCTAACAGCTTTTGGGCTTTTTCCGGGTTGCTTAGCCTGACTCCCAATCCAGCCCACACTCTAATCCCTGGAGTGAAAATCAGAAATGCAGGGAGGGATTTTGAAAGGTCAGGAGAGATGGATGCATTAGGTACCATTCACTGGTACATTTATAACCAACTAGCTAGGTAAACGATTCTCTGAGGTTACTATTAGCTAGGCCTAGTCCTCAGGAATCCATGTGGAAACTGGGCTTCAGTGGTAATAGGAACTGCAGATGCTGGAGAATCTGAGATAACAAGG